ATTAAATTAATAAATTTATTTTCTATATTAATTATAATCTTTATATTATAAAATTTAATTATAATCATTAAATTAATTTTATTAAATTAATTTTATTAAATAATTAATTTATTTAACATGATTTTATTAGATTATATAAAATTAATTTAAATATTTATAAGTTAAAAATCCACTTGTAACCCACTTTGCTTTTGATTTTTAAAAGTTAAAAATTTCCACTAATTTCGTCACTTTGTCACCGGTTTTGAAGAAGAATAAGGGAGGTGGGGCCCTTGCATTTATGGTGTTGATAGTTTTAAGGATTTACCAAGTTGCCATGCGACAATCCATGTGAACCAAAGTTAATTATAGAGAACATTAGATGAAGCTTTTAAATCATTATAATTTTTACTATTTTTACTTTTATGTTAAAAAAATAAAATTATGACATATATAAAATATATATACATCATACATATGTACATATATGTATGTATATATTTATATTTATATTTATATATATATACTTATATACACTTATGTACATACATCATTGATCATACATAATTACACACACATAAATATATATATATATACACACATGCTTATACATACTTATGTACATACATCATACACTTATATATACACACAAACTTATATATATATATATATATACTTATGCATATATATAAAAGTATAAGTATATATATAAATATAAGTATACATATGTATATAATATACATGCATATATATAATGTACTTATGTCTATAATATTATATACATAATATACATAAGTATATTATATATAATATTATAAGTATAATGGATACATAAGTGCAATTCACATTATATATACATGTATCATAATATTCATCATACATATTATATATAAATATTATAGTTATTTAATTTGATTGTTGCATGTTTTATTTAAATTATTATTTTTAATTTTATATTTAATCAATTTAGTCCTTAAAATTATATCATAATATCCGAAACCTTATAAACTTTTATTCCTCAACTTTTAAAATGAATGCAATTCAATTCATTTTTATATTAATTTCAGTTTCATATTTTACAATTATTTTGATTTAGTGCTTAAAATTGTATTTGAATATGAAATTAGCTCATACTTATTTATATTTTTTATAGTTTACTTCAAACTCACTATATCACATAATAAACTTTATTTCAAACTCTATAAATTATATCATAATCTCTAAACCCTAGAAACTTTTGTTCACCAACTTTTTAGATGGATTCAATTTAGTCCATTTTTATATTAATTTCAACTTAATATTTTATAATTATTTTGATTTGATCTCTCATCCATGCGTGTTGTTTAATATATTTAAATTTCAATTTGCAATTTGCAATTTCATGTTTGTTCAATTTAGTCCTTAAAATTATGTTTTTATTAAAATTGACCCATAATTATTTATATTTTTTTTGTAATTTACTCCAAATCATATACAATTACAAATTACAAATCGTCATTAAATTAACGTGATCCAAACCCGAACTGAATTTGATATCAAATCAACCTAAAAAAAGCCGAATTGATTTGACTCAAACCTAACCTAATCCGAGTTAAACCATCAAATTCACCTGACACGACCTTTATCCGATTTAACTTGACTTGACAGGATTCGACTGAAACCAGAACGATTACCTAACTTCATACCCCAACCACTGTTGGGTAGAGTGGCAATGAAATATGGAGTAGTGAGACCGTGAGAGAAGAGGTCATTGATTGATTGGGCATCTTCTTAAGCTTTTGGTTTCGAGCCCGATAGGGAGAAAACGTTTTTTTGTTTAAGATTGAATGTTCGGATTTATGGATGATGTCAAATTTAGATGATACTTGAATTTATTTATATATTTTAAAAATACATTTTATTTTGTTAGTTGTCACATTATAATAGAAATCTAATGATCATAATTAATTATGTACTTTAAATGGTGAAGAATTATTTTATTAGTTATTGTGTTATAATATCAGTTGTCAATTAAAAGTTTACAACTTACAAATTAAGTAAATATCAAGTTGAGTATATATATATATATAGGGGTAGGATCCACTTACACGTAGTGTAAATTTTTTAGTTTTACACATTTTTAAGATCGTTGGATGTTGGGAAATCAATGACTGAGATTAACTCATTATTTTTTCCAATGAATATCTTCTCATTTTCTACTGTTAATCTCAGCCTTTGATTTCTCCTCATCCAACGATCCTAAAAAATTGTAAAACTTTTTATTTTTATACTATATAATTGGATCCTAGCCTATATAATATAGTATAATATAATATATATACATACATATACATATATATATATATATATTAAAATTAAATTATTAATCAATTATTACATCATAATAATATTTAAACTTATTGATATTTAAAATCATTTTATATAATCTAATTTTTAATCTAATAAAATTAATAATCAATAAATTAATTATTTAATAAAAGTAATTTAATGGTTATAATACCTAATGATCATAATTAATATAGAAAGCTATAGAAGACAATTAAAATCTCAATTTTACTCAACGGGTCTCTGACGAAGGAATTTCATATGAGGAGAGGGTTAAGACAGGGGACCCTCTATCACCATTTTTATTTATTTTGGTGACGGGAGCATTACATAAATTGTTTGAGAATGCAGTGGCAATGGGGGAGATTGAGGGTATAAGTAACATTGTACATGGGCTATATTTGTCTCACCTTCAATTTGCGGATGACACCATCTTGTTCCTAAGACCGGAAGAAGAATGTATAATCAATGTGAAGCGTATTTTGCGAGGTTTGCTCAGGACTGGGTATTAACTTCAAAAAATCTTGCATGATTGGCATCTACGGAAGTTAGCAGGTTGGATTATTAGGCTCAAATTTGTGGCTGTCGAATTGTTTCGCTCCCTCTAAAATACTTGGGCATACCTCTGGGGGTAGACGCTAGAAAAATCAGCATGTGGGAGCCGGTGGTGGAGCATTTTTATCAAAAGCTGACAGGTTGGAAATGCAGATTATTATCTTTCACAGGAAGAATGAATTGTATTAGCAAACTCCGTTCTAGCCGCATTGCCCCTATATTACTTATCATTATTCGAAGTTCTGAAGGCAGTGCTCTTGAAGATTGATAAAATTAGAAGAAACTTCATTTGGGGTGCTAGGGAGGGATCGAAGAAACTAGTCTGGGTTAAGTGGGGTTTAATGTGCAAGCCGAAGAAACATGGAGGTGCGGGGGTGATTAATTTAAAAATAAAAAAATAGAGCTTTGTTGGCAAAATGGGGGTGAAGGTATTCAACTGAGAGAGAGGCTCTTTGGAGGAAAGTGGTAAACGCTAAATATGGCAAAGAAGATTCGAACTGGCTTGACATGAGTACTCATAACAGGAACGTTTAGATTGTTTGGATGGGCATTTTAAGGAATTTATTCGAAGATGGGGTAACCAAGTGGATGAATCGATTTGCTTTTAGATGGAAATGGGCAATCAATTCTGTTTTGGGAGTTCCTATGTTCAAGGGGAGTTCAAATTAATTCTGGACTCGAGTGTCCATGGTGCGATTTAGATGTCGAAAATGCGAATCACCTTTTTGTTGAGTGCATGTTTGTGCAAGGTTTTTGGATTGAATTCTTTGCATGGTGGTCTTTTGCAGGGATTGAAATCAATGGAACATTTGCTGATTCTTTCAATTCTTGTTTCAACGTGAATTGGGTGGGTTATGTTAGATCAGCTTGGTTTGTTTCCTTAGCAGCAGGGCTCTGGAGTATTTGGTTGGCCAGGAACGATACAATTTTTAAAGATAAGACGATAGCTAAAAATGAACTGGTTTTTTGCTCCAAAATGAGAGCGTTTATATGGATAAAAGTAGGATATTACATGGATTTTATTAGAGGGTAATTGGTGGCAATGTCCATTGAATTGTATTGATCTAAACCGAACCAGTAAGTCTGTTTCGGATTGGTGCCCGCCATCATCAGGTGCGACAAAGTTTAATGTGGATGGGGCAGCAAGGCTTGGAAGGGCAGGTTGTGGAGGGGTGCTCAGAACAGATTCGGGTGAGGTAAGAATTCTTTTCTCCGGGCCAGTGGAGAGTTTGGGACCGGAGTATGCAGAATTAATAGCCATCAAAACTGTGCTGTCAGTGTTCGTAGAGGCAGGTTGGGCAGGTAAATCTTTCTTAGTGATAGAATCAGACTGTTAGGTTGTTTTGAATTGGATTGCTTCTCCTCTCATGAGACCATGGAAATGGTGGAGTGTTTTCGATAAGGTGGATAGGCTGTCTCGAGCCTTAACTCAGGTTCACTTATCTTATGTTCTGAGAACTGAAAATGGCATGTCTGACTTTCTGACGAAAGAAGGTATGTCGAGGGCGGAATTATTCAAAGCATGGTGGTAGGATGTTTGCCTAGAAAGGATATTCCTGACTCGGTTGCAGCTTGGGGGTTGCTGAATGTTTTGTTTGGTTGGTTTTGCTGAGTTAGAAATTGTGAATCGTACTTTTGTTGAATCAGTGTTCGTAGGTTTAAGAAGGTTTTTAACAAACCTTTCAACTTTGGTATTTTACAAATCAAGTAAATATCAGATCAGTTCAATAATAAGTCGGATTATTTATCAATTGTGTCTTACAAGTCAAGTTTATAATATGTCAGTTTGATAACAGATCGAATAATATCAATTATTTATCAGGTTAATTTTAGTTTTAGATTCATATCATGTTAGACACAAATCAAATTTAATTATCATATTATCGATTTAATTCGAGTTCAAATCATTCTCATTTCACACCTAAGTCTAAGTTGTGTGAATATAAATTTTTTAGGTTCAACCTCTATTTACATCGACACCCTCACTCAAATTGATAATGGCTCACACCACCTGGAGCCACAAACAATTTTGAGGTTTCTACGTACACCAACCACGTTTGCATCGATGAGCATGTAAGTCAAATTGCTACCTTGTCCAGATTCCTAAAGCATCTCTTTATTTGATATTATAATTATCTGCTCGTCATATCCCTGTACTCTCCACTTATTCACTCACAAAACACACTAATGGAATCAAAGTCCTTACGTTTCCTCTTCTCCTTCGTCGCCATAGCTTTCCTGCTCCTCCTCACATGGACTCACCTCCTCCACGCGCCACCCCCTGACCTCACCACCCTCATTGACTGCGCCACTAACTCTCACTGGTGCACCTCCAAGAACCGGTTCCAGTCCAAACAAGAACAACCCACAGTCACCAAAGAGCCAGGCGCCTCCACCTTCGACCGGGTCCGCCGCCGCCGCCACGAGTCAGCTGTCCCTCGCCATCCACTCGACCCGCTCACTGTCCAAGAGTTCAACAAGGTCCGCTCCATTCTTTCTTCCCACGCGCTCTTCAAGTCATCCAATAACTACGCGTCCCATTCCGTTGTCCTGGAGGAACCCGACAAAGACCTTGTCCGTCAATGGGAAAAAGGCCAACCGCTCTTCCCCAGAATAGCCTCCGTCGTGGCACGCGCCAATGGGGTGTCACACGTGCTGAGCGTCAACCTAGAAACCGACGAAGTGAACGTTCTAAACACGGTTCCTCCGACCGGTTACCCGACGATGACGATAGAAGACATGACGTCGTCTATCTGGGCTCCACTTTCGAACGCCAAGTTCAACCGTACGATCATGGATCGAGGGGTCAACCTCGATGATTTGGCGTGCCTACCCATCTCCTTGGGATGGTTCGGGAAAAAAGAGGAGAACCGGAGGTTAATCAAGGTCCAGTGCTACTCCATGAAAGACACTGTAAACTTTTACATGAGACCAATCGAAGGTTTAACTGTCTTACTCGACATGGACACGAAAGAAGTGGTGGAGATATCGGATACGGGCCGGGCCATTCCGATACCGAAAGCCGCCAACACCGACTACCGTTTCTCGGAGCAGAAGAAGCTTCAGCAGGAGCTCAACTTACTAAACCCCATATCCATTGAACAGCCCAAGGGTCCGAGTTTTGTCATAGAAGATGAACATTTGGTGAAATGGGCAAATTGGGAATTTCATTTGAAACCCGACCCGAGAGCTGGTGTGGTGATTTCCCGGGCTAAGGTCCGTGACCTTGACGGTGAGGTGATGAGGGATGTGATGTACAAAGGGTTTACGTCTGAATTGTTTGTTCCTTACATGGACCCCACTGATGCATGGTATTTTAAGACATACATGGATGCGGGTGAATACGGGTTCGGGTTGCAAGCTATGCCACTTGACCCGCTTAATGATTGCCCCAGAAATGCGTATTATATGGATGGGGTGTTCGCCGCCGGTGATGGGGTGCCGTATGTCCGATCAAATATGATTTGCGTTTTTGAGAGTTACGCCGGTGATATAGGGTGGCGTCATGCCGAGAGTCCAATCACGGGAATGGAGGTAAGAATCTTTGAGTCTTGATACTTTTTCAAGTCATAGAAATGTGCATTTAGTATCTTTTATTTTTATTTTATTGCCATCGATGCATTTGGTTGAAGATTTAATATCCAGGTCAAATTCGATTCAATTAAAATTTAATTAATGTACAATTTGAATTGACTCGGCTTGAATTCCATTTTGATTTGAGATTTTAATAAGTTGAGTCCATCAAAATCCAATTTGATTGTCTTTTTAGTCTTATTTTGATAATTAAAATTTAAATTGTTTTAGTTTAACAACTAAACTTTCAAATTATTTATGTTTTGGTCACTTTGATAGTATAAATTATTTTAATATTAAATTTATTATGGATATTATATATTTTTTTAATATTTAATATCAAATATATTTTTAAAATGAATAAATAAAATCATTAAAAACCTCCAATCATATCCCAAATCATAACCCTAATTCATACTCATTTAAACCCTTAATTCCATCCACAAACTCTAATTGTGGGACGGGTGTTACGATTTAGGATTTGGGTGTTATGAATTGGGATTTTTATGTTGTTATGAATTGGGATTTTTATGTTGTTATTTTGGTTTAGAGTTTAGAGTTTAATTATTTTGATGTAGAATTTGGAGTTTAGGTTTAAGTTTGAGGTATGATTTGGGTGTTTGAATTTCGTTTCTTATTATAATCCTACGTGACAATAATAATAATAATAATAAAATATGTCATATTATTAAAAAAATATAAATAAAATAAGTTAAAGTGACTAAAACATAATTTTTTAAAGTTTAATTGTTAACTTGAATCTATTTAAACGTTAATGATGAAAAAGAATAAGAAAATAATTGGATGAACAACAATGTAATTTACCCTTATTTTATTCCGATTGATGCATGAAAAATATAGCTTGGTTACAATTTTGTTATTTTTGCAGATTAAGGAAGTGCGTCCAAAGGTGACATTGGTGGTTCGAATGGCTGCATCAGTTGCTAACTATGATTATATTGTTGATTGGGAATTCCAAACAGATGGACTTATCAGGGTTAAGGTTAGTCAACTCTTTATTTATTCATTCGTATTTTTGTTTCGATCAAAATTTAATTGATATAAACACTAAATCCAAGGTTTAATCATATCAGATTGTCAAGAATAAAATATTATATACGAAAATACATTTGAATTAATTGAATGATTTTTTTTTTAGATAAGTAATGATTGAAATCTCTAAATCTTTACTTTTGTTATCTTTTAAAAAGATAAATTTTCTCTTGCCCTAAAAATTATTTGACGGGACAAGAATAATACAAGTTTTTTCTTGGAGATCACTATCTCTTTATATAAAATGAAGGCTTAATACAAAAATAAGTTCATAAATTATATCTCAAATTGACTTTTGGTGCTTGAAGAATTTTTCGTTAAAAGTAATATTTTCTTCGTTATACTTTTAGGTGTCTGGTGTTATATTTATTTTATTTTTTTAAAATAAAAATATGTTTTTTTCAAAAAAAAATAAAAAATCAAACCTCATGCGTCATCTCTCTCCCTCTCATCCCCCATCTACGGAGACGAAGGGTTACTATCGACTAGATATTTTTAGGAGTAGGGCGAGGAAGTCAATGTTGACGGTCGTATAATGTACAGACAAATGCGGCTGTCGAAATCGTCGAAAAATAATAAAGGGAGCCCTAAATATCTGACGACCCTTCGCGGTGATTTTCACGACGATTGACAGTTTCACGATGTGTAGGGCATTAGATTTTGATCGTGGTGGCAAGACTATTCTGATGGTGTCAACGGTGACAGTTACAGACCGACGTTAGGCGATCAACGTTTGAGGAAATAATTTTTGAGTTTTTTAAAATTATAATATTGTGTTTTTTAAAATAAAAAAATTAAAATTTTATATGTTTGACACACGTAAAATAATGATCAAATTTAATGGCGATTATAGTCCAGACACTTATTAGGTATAGGTTAGACACTATTTAATATTTATAATGTTGTCCCTCATCAAATTATAAATACAATTTATGATTTTTATATTTTAATAACTATAACATAATTGGTCATTTAATTCCGTGTGATACATTATAAATATATGTGCCAATAATTTAATCCAACATAATTTACTTTCCACTCGAAAATTCTTTATTTTACAGGTAAAGTGAGTGAGAAAGCTCACCAATCTTTCGAGGAAGAAAAAATTAAGGATATTTTCTGCCAACTTATGTTTGACAAAAAAATATGGTCTCAATCTGAAATAATCGTGTGGTATGTTGAATATATTGAACATAGGTTGGACTGAGCGGCATTTTGATGGTGAAAGGGAGTGAATACGACAACATGAATCAAGTGGAAGAGAATCTCTTCGGCACACTTTTGTCCGAAAACGTCATCGGTGTCATCCATGATCATTTCATCACCTTCTACTTGGACATGGACATCGACGGCTCAGATAACTCCTTCGTTCAACTAAATATCAAACGACAAGACACTTCTCCTGGTGAATCACCAAGGAAAAGCTATCTCAAAGTTGTAAGAAATGTTGCTAAAACGGAGAAAGATGCTCAAATTCAGCTTAAACTCTATGAACCTTCGGAGTTTCATGTGATCAATCCGACCAAGAAGACTCGGGTCGGGAACCCCGTCGGATACAAGGTCGTTCCTGCTGGCACAGCCGCTAGTTTGCTCGATCATGACGATCCGCCACAGAGGAGAGGTGCATTCACAAATAACCAAATATGGGTCACTCCATATAACAGAAGCGAGCAATGGGCTGGTGGATTATTTGTTTACCAGAGCCAGGGTGATGACACTCTTGCTGTTTGGTCTGAAAGGTAAAAAGGAAAAAAAGATTGTTCTTTAACTTCAAAATGATCATCATAGAGAACGTACTCATTTAAATGTTTTTATTTTTTTGGCAGGGATCGACCGATAGAGAACAAGGACATCGTGGTTTGGTACACATTAGGGTTCCATCACATTCCCTGCCAGGAGGATTTTCCTATAATGCCAACGGTGTCGTCGAGCTTCGATTTGAAGCCGGTTAATTTCTTCGAGAGCAACCCGATTCTTCGAACTCCGCCCAATGTCGAAAAGGATTTACCAGTATGCAGGGATGCAGCTTCTGCATGAAAATGAATTTGTACGTCTTATCTTAGGTAATGGTTAGTTAGCATGGATGGGGATCCATGCTTAAATATGGTCAGAGGTTAACGGTAACTCATGTAATGGTTGATAATGAATGAACATCATCCTTGGTAATAACATTTGTGTACAAAAGATGGATATTATTCGCTGGAATCATACCATTTTCTAACACTCCAGAGACCCCACAGATTCAAAAGTGGTATTTTTGGTACAATGAACATACAGCCATGCCATGATTAGAAGAAGCATAATTAGGTTAATTGTACTACCACATGTATTAATGGAAAATACAAAAGGAAATGGGGTGGAACTTTAAGAGCTTATCGTTGCTGCTTCCACTGGATCTTTTCTGCCCCCCATTTTAAAAGACAAACAAGTTCCAGTAGAAGGAGCAAAAAGAAGCTGAGGAAAGCACCTACCCTATTCTATTAGGACTGCAAAATTACATTCAAAGTTCAACCAAAGGATTTTAAAATCTGTTCAAAGTACCCCCCTTCTTCTCTTGCACATTTGTCTTTTACATGCACATGGAGTTTGGTTTACTAACTACCAGATTGTAACCATCTTGACTTGTAGGATTTTGCCCTTTTAGGCGCAATCACCTCCAGAGCCCCAACAATACACTTCCTATACGAGAAGTCTACAAACGTCTCGTCCGTTCTTACCAATGAGAAGCAGCGAGTATTTGGATATTCGGGATGGTTTACTACCTGCAAAACATAGGGAAATGAAGCATCAGAATTGTCTCATGGTTTGCTTTCGATTTCCAATTTTGCAGGATAGTGTACCTTTATTTCCTTAGCTCCACATCCAATCTTCTCGTCTCTTCGAGGGTGAAAGTACAATGCCATCATCAAGGTATCCCACTCGGCCTCGCTTACCCGGTGATCAATAGGATACCTACAGTCAACACAACCATGGGCTCAGAGAATATAACATCACCAATACCATGTACTATGCCACAAAGAGGACAGGGAATCATTCAATGGAGGAAAAACTTGATCACTAAAAACATAACTGCTAATCGGAGGCAAGCTTACTTGTGCAAAATATTCCTTAACTCGCGCGAAAGCTTCATGACGTCATTCAAGGTTAAAAGTCCTCTCAAGATTGATCTTGTTTTTGTTTCAATCTTCTTCAGCTCATCAAAGGCAGAACCACAGAAAGCTCCCACAAACGGAGAACTATGTTTCTCGGACTTAGAGTTAAAAGCTTTGGGTACTTGAAACTCTATATCCTGCTTCTTGGAATTCACAGATTCTCGCAGCAGCTTATACACGTCAAATGGTTCTTCAAGCTTTTGATCCTGAAAAATAATAATGGCACGGATATAAACTTCAAGATTATAACATAGCTAAGACAAATAACATCAAAACGTACTCATGCACAGGATCATTCAGTGCTTGAGATACAAAATTGAAATCTTTGACCCCATTAGTTCTAAGTCTAGTGATACTACCATAGGATCCTTACAAGATTTAGACGAGAAACATTTACCATTAAGATGCATATTCTTCTAATGAACAAAAACAGTGCATACTCCTCTATATGTACTTCACTCAGCAAACTTGCTCCCTCTCGAAAACCAACATTCTGAAGAGATAACCTATTACCACAACTCTATTCGGTATCAATCACAGTAATAAAGCCTCAGTCCTTTAACTCCTTATCACTTTCAAAATGCATCATTCATAAAAGAAGTTGACAGTATGTTGTGTCACCCCATTCTTTAGAACCAAAAACAGGGAGATTTCAGACACATTCAAAACCCTACATTTCCCAATCAGTTAATTGCAACTGTAGTGCAAATCTAATCCGCAAGGCTACTACTTTAAAACAACAGCAAGAACTAAACAAAATACCTTCATAGAATATACTATATCAAAATGTCCACCAGTCCCAATACGAGGGACCTTTCCCCAAGCCAGTGTGTCAATGGTCCCCTGAAGATCATCCAAAACTTCGGCCTTAGCAGCTTTGACAAAGCAAGCACTAGGATTCTGCCACAATTGTAAAAAGCTAAGTTGACTATAAAAATGTCTTACTCAAGCATCAAAGTAGAAACAATGACGGGAACTAACCGAAAAGCATGCTTGCATGAAGGGGGAAGAGACAAATGCGTGTTCTCTTTGTTGTTTCAAGCCTTTTGAATTCAAGCCAACAAACTCCCCAGTAGCTGACAGACAATTGGCGGCAAGGTACAAATGTTCGTCTAGTATAGTCTTGCCAGTATCTGATATTGCACTCTTCATATTCTGCAAAAGAATGGAATGAGAAAGTTAATATACGCAATTACCCCTATGATTTTCTGTAAATAGAAAACAAGGGAACGAATTACAAGGAAAACAAACTTTGAGAAAAAATCTCCATCCAGCATCTATTCCAAATGCCAAACAAAACTGATTTATGTTATCTGGATGACTTCGTGTCCAATCAATCACATCCATCAATTGGAGGCAATCATCCATAAGCACACCCCAGAGTTTTGTTATACCAAAAGCACCAGATACAGAAACCCTCAAGTAAAGTTCACCATTAGCAGTTTTATGAGAATTTGAGGCTCTCGGTTCATCGTTCCATAAAATATCCACCTTCTTGATCTCCGGAAATCCTAAAGAAAATTTTGTAAATTCAAAGGGAAAAAAAGATGAATATCACCAACTTGTAATCAACTAGTAATGCATATCTACATAAACAATGTAGGAAAACATAATTTTCAGAAGGATGTCACTTCTTTAGGCTATTTGATTTTCTAGTGGTTTACATTGTCTTTTACATTAGAATAGACCCTATAGATTATGTTTTCCCTATCAGAAATTGGGTCATACAATGATACAAGTTCAACTATTAGAACTCCCACCAATAAACAGACTAGAGAACTAACAGTGATGGATAAATAGGAAGTACACACTACGGGAAGGTGTATGACGTTCAATAATTTCAAGAACATAAGAGTAATAGAAATAGTCTAATGGCAATCCACATGGAAAATTTAGATTCCAGCTATATATACTTAATTTTGATGGTAGATGTTGAAGAACGATGATGCTAAACCCAATCACTATCAAGTTGTCTCTTAAAAGAATTTTAACCATTAATATAGGTTTAAGTCATTTTACAAAAAATCAGCCCTCAAATGGGATTCATAATACCAGTCAATTTGGACATAAGAAGTACAAACCTTTTACCACTGCTTCCAGAAGGGAAGGTATCACCATGTCTCGAATCACGTCCAATTCTATGCGAGAACTTTTAGAGCATTCAACTATTGTGACAGTGATACAAAATGTATCATCTTTATTTTGCAAGTCATTAAAAGAACAATCCCTGCCATTCAATCAAAAAATTAAGCAAAAAAGAAAAAAGCTTTAGAAAGTAAAAAAATAATTCCAGCGGATTCAATTTAAGCTTCCTTTTCCCACCCTTCAGAGCTCAAATGCATTGGAACAACTACATTTGGAAGCAATATCTTGATACCTTCAAGCCCTCAAATGAAAAAAAGTAAATTATGGTGATTATAATTCTTCATGCATCCGATCATACAACTTTTAGAAAGGGTGAGATTGGATTGATGTGCACCACAAAAGCAGGCCAAAACTAAGGTGTAGGTCATAAAAACAAACGATTGAAGCTCTATTTCTCCATCAGAAGTTAATAAAAAAAAAGTACAAAGATAGAGGGAAAAGGTTTTTAATTACATCCACATAGCATAAATAAGAAAGCTAAAGGTATGAAGGAGCAGTGACATATGTAAGAAGTAATTCCGATGACTGAAATCTGCTTTATTCCTATATCCTTGGCCTACTTAGGTGTATAGGAATTAAGAAACATAAGGGGCAAGCATTTAGTAAAATTGCGGAAGGATGGTGAATAAATATAACAAAAAGATGAAATTCTAGGAAAGATCACCAAATTTTACAATTTTTTTCTTCCCTCATTATTTTATTTTGTTTTATCTATGATATTTTATTTGCATCTTACTTTTGGTATATTTTTCTTTACTAAATTTAGTACAAGTACAAAGAAATGTATAAGTTGGGTTTGAACCGAACATTCAGAAAAGAACACTTGAAGTAAATACAGCTAGTAAGAAACTGCAAGCTGGTGGAGTGTACGCAGGCTACACATATTACCAGTGTATGTCCCAGCGAGTAACTCTTTTTGGCAACAACTAGGCATGGTAAAAATGGGAAAACTTACTTGTTTGTAACTTGCAAGTCAGGCAAATCGATTTTCCACATTCTTCTGGCATTGGAACAGTGCATGTGAAGAGAATCAATAATAGAATGCACAGTAAGCCTCCTCTTTTTCACAAGATCCTGGAAAGTACATACTTTTATGGTGAAACTCTGAAGTGGAAGTTTAATCAACATAGATACAACATTTATGTATCACATTACCTTGCACACATGAAAATGGCAAACCCAAGGACTAAAACGGTTTTCACTAGACATCAGTGGAGAGAAACTAGTGCCATAGAACCCGTTAATAAATCTCAAGAATGCATTAAAGTTAAAATCAGGAGAACAAAGCATAAAACAAGGACAAGACAAAAAGAAAGGAATTTAAACTCACATTATTGAGCAAGTAGACACAATATCTTTAAATATCAACCTCTCCAAATGATTCTTGACTTCTAAGGCTCCATACTCCTGACCATGCTTTCTCCTTCCAAGTTTACCAGATAAAAATAGTGACATAGTCTGGTCAGCATTGCTTCGTTTAGAACCACACTCAAGAACCCTCTGAACAATTTAATCAGAATAATATGTTAGTGTTCAACCATTTGCAATAATTTATACATCAACAAATAATAACTGGCAGAGTGCCTTGTGGTGGTACATGAACATAAAAAAAAAATCATGACTTAATCTACTAGATGATATGTTACAAAACATCATGTATCGTAGTTGATCATGAGCACATAAAGATCATGTGTTTTTGTTCTCAATAGCATCAAGTTGTTATATGGTTCTTATAAACTTCACTACGTAAGTTTCAACGTAGTAATTAGAATCCGAAGTCACCAATTTCCTCATCAAGTTGGAAAGGAAAGAAAATTTCTTTGATGTTTTCTAGTTCTTTACAACGCCATCAGGGGTGGCATGACGGGAAGGGGGGGGGGAGAGAGAGAGAACCTTCAAGTTCAGCAATGGTGAAGATTCAAGTAGACTAATTGGCTGGTCCAATGCGCTATATGCAGCCTCAGAAATAGCACAGGCAGACAATGAACCAACAGGTTGGCCACCTATCCCATCAGGAAGACTCTTGCCCTGACTTGCTAATTTGTCAGCACAACTAGTTGGACTAGATATACCCTTATCAATATTATAACAGAACTGAACAACCTGGTCTCCATATGCATTCCTCACAGTTCCATCATACGATGTGCATAGATCACGCATGAAGAACATCAACCGTCGTGAAAGCGTCCCAGGAAGGTCAGCATTGTCACTGAAAGATGTGTCTCGAGTAGTCACTGAATGAACAAAACATTCTAGTGGGTTCAGACCCTTCACAAAAGAACTCTCAACCACAGCATAGGGGATATATTTCTTAGCAGACTCATCAGTATCATTCACTTTCTGGGTTAAGCCGTGAGACTTTTGGTTATTCCATGCTGCACATGAAAGCTGATAAGGAAATCTGAATGATAAAGGTACAAGTGCATGTTGCAGTCCAAGGCACATGCTATGTTGTACTAACTTCAGCAAGTTACCCTTGCTCCCTGCTTTGAACATGGTGAATAGCGAATTGTCTTTATTTGCATACTTGTAGAGCAAATTCTGAATATCACGAAAAACTTGCTTAAAAGAATCAACAGAAACTTGGCTAAGTGCAGCCGATCTTTGCTTCTCATAACACATCCGCTCAACATCCATAGCCATAAAACTATTAATTTCTTCATCATTTCCAGCAAGGAGATCATGATAAGAATCAACCATCAACTGCTTAAAGTTGCAAGTCTGCTCTGCCTCTTGCAGACCATAAAAGATTTCATCCATCATGTTCTTTTGTGAATTTGAGTCAGGAGATAGATATATGTCTAAGAGCGAAACACTCAAACCCCTCATTGACAACCACTCACAAAGAACTTCCTGGGCAGCATACAAAAAGCCAAGGACCTCTCCTTGATAGTATTTAATAAGACTTTCAAAGAGGTTGCCATCAGCATCTCGTAGCCAGGTAGACCCTTCAGATGAACATATAAGCTCTCCATTATGAATAACAACATCACTTGGAGAAAAAACATAATCAAATTCTGGAGGAAAGAGCATGCTGAATAACTGCTTTCCAGTCCAAACAGAACTACTCAATTGAGGAGCTTTGACAATTGCAGGTAACGGTGAATGTTTGGGACAAAACATTTCAAGCTGTTGCAACTGGAATAGATTCAATATAACCCCATCCTCCTTGACCAAATAAGCAGCCGTTAAACTATCGTGACTGAGTGAGAGCAGATTTTTACCACTTTGACCATTGATTAGCTGTCTATTCAGAGAAACAAGCTCGCTGAGCTCAACCCTTGTGTTGATAGACTGAGGAACATAGCCATGAAGGCAATCACCATCAAAATCTCCACGAAAAGGGGAACAAATTAGAGGGTTTATTGACACAACTGAACTGACAGGTAAAACTTTAACAGATAGAGCAATGAGAGAGTGTTGATGTATAGAAGGAGGTCTGTTTATAAGCACCGTATCCCCATCGTTTAGCGGCCTATAGATAGTGTCGCCCACTTGGACCTTTTCATCATGGCGAATTCTAACCAATTTACCATCTCTCCTGATGCGAATCTCACCTTTCTCAAGAATACGCAAATTACAACAAGTTTTTAGTCTCTCCTCATTCCAGTTGTTCAGTTGCTCAGCAATTTGCAACTTCTCGGCAACATGACATGGGATGCCAATTTCATACAGTTTAAGGTTCGGGTCTCCAGTAAGAACCATGCGGAAACAATGATCATTTCTCTTGCCTAGAATAACATCTTTCATATATCTTAAACCAGACATGTTGGAACTAGAATCTTTATTCTTTTTCAGAAAAGAAATAAGCGAAGAATCTTCATTTGATGGCTTCTCCACATGCAGCTGCACATTGATGTAATCAAAGAATAAAGCATAAGGTTTCATGAAAGTTGAACCAATTCAAAAATAAATAAATAAATAAGCAATATAACTTGCCTTAGAAATTTGTAGGCATTCCAATACATGAGAGCCCAATTCATTTGCTAGCCCTCTAAAATCAACCAGTTTCTTGTACACCCTGGTTCTTTCATCCTACATCAAAACCATTAATCAGAAAGTTCAGCCAAACCAAAAAGAAAATAGATGAAATGTATATAATTAGATAACCCATCCATATCAACCAAAGACCTTTAAAGCATGTAAATGTGGATATTTAAAGAAAGACTTACAAAGATCAGTCGCTGTGCATTGGAAGATGAATGCATTATTTCTGTCACTCGATGACTATTAGGTGTCACAGGAAAAAAGCTGAGGAAAATAGAGTCCGCATTTGAAATAAACTTGTTAATGAACTCTGGATCAACATCCATCAACAACTGTCGAACCTGAAAACCAATAGGCATTATTTACTTGTTAATATGGTAAGGAAAAGGAAGGTCTATCTTATATAAGGGAAGGGGCGGGCAGCATCAATGCTTTTAAAGAATATCCGAGACATGAATAATAATTTCCAAAACAAAAATACCCTTGAAGTACTGTAGCAACTGGGATATATTTACACGAGAAACTAGTTATGAAATATTTTCCCTTCATTTTTTCTTCCTGGCATGCAAGTGACAACAGTTTTCCTTGCCAAGAAAGCCCATTTAAAGCTTTATCTATTATAATATCACAATGGTTATATAGAGAGGAGAATCCCATTAAAACCCATTATAGTTTTCAAATCACTAATAGTATTAAGTAAAATGATATTATTGTACGACAAGATCCCAAAACTATTAGGGAAACAACCAACTCACTATCTTCCACCCTCCAAAACTACCACCAGATATTGTTAAGAATTAAAAAATTAAGATATTCTTTAGCTTCATGGTTAAAATATAACAAAGAAAATAAAGGGTTTTTATTGAGGAAAAAAGTAGTATTAGTAAATATCATGACAACAACATAAAGTAGGTAATAAAAGAGCACTATAAACTCATTGCAAAGCATATATCAAAAAGAGTTGTGAATTGGAAAAGAACAAGCTACCTGGGAATGTGATAGGACTCTTCTAAGTGGTCTCAGAAAACCTTCTTCCTGTTGTTGATCTTTTGGAATAAAATCCCAGTAATCTGCAGGTAATGCTTGCCTTCCTCTCTTTCGGACCTTCATTAAAGAACTTTCACTCACCTCTACCATAATTGCACTTTTTCTGAATAGCTCTTTTGACGTTATCTTGAATCTCATGGGTGGATACCAGTCTATTGAATTCCCCTGTTCACCAGACATCATTAGCACAGAGAAAGTAAGAAAAAAAGAATCAAGGAAACAAGAAGCTAGACGAACTTACAACACAATATTTACACCCCATGGTTCCAAGTAATCTGGCTACAGTATTAGCACCCTGGTACATGCATGGGAAAATAAACCATCAACATTGCGTACTATGGAACATATTTTGCTCAAAAAAGAAAGAAAGCATGCGGAGACTCTATCAGAAAATCAGATCCTGGAGGTTAATCTCACTCCAATAATTTCTATTTTATCCTTTTCTTTTTCTTTAGGATGATAAAAAGTAATAAACAATATTATATTGCAATGGAAAAAAAGGAAAAAGTATAGCAGTATGATGATCTTCAGTAGAAGAGGAGAGGTACCTGACCTTCATCCATATATCTTTCCGGATCGATTTACATCCTGGACAAATCTTATTTAATATATGTACAACTTCTGAAAGAAAAAAAGGATGGAGTATTGTGTATGGAAATTTAATAACCCCGAAATGGCCTGCAAAGATGAATGGAAAGAAATCGGTACTTTATGATAGCTACATTAACAAAAAAGTAGCTACATGAAGAAAAAAGTAAACAAATACAAAATATGATCTAAAATTTTTAATTGGACATCCACCTTCACATTGTTTCATATTTGTGGCATCACAAGTAGCACAGTGATTAGAAAAATTCGGAAACCCCAACCTAGGATCAGACACCTCACCCGGTGCAGCAATTTCCATGATAGACATGTTCTCCTGTCACAATATCAGAAAAGAATGATAAGTGCTCAAATTGTCACATGGGATAGTTTGCCGCCATGTCCAAAACAATGTGAAACATAAAGTACAGAAATAAGGCATACATAACCATGAAGCAAACGTTGTACTTAAAACATGGAGCGCAATATAATACGCTTGTTTCAACAATGAAAAACGAAAAGAAAGGTTCTTAGAAACGAAAAAAGAAAGAAAGAATCAGTGGCTAAGACATAGAGGAAGGAAGACAGTGGCAGGATAAAATAGTTAACAATGAGTGGGCATCATAGAAAGGAATTTCGCAAACTAAAATGAAAAAAAAAAATATATATATATATAGTTATAAGGATCTACATGGAGAGAGATAGGCACCCCAAAGAGAATATAAGCATAAAGCATACATATCGGACTGTGTTTCTTATTTACAATGAGGACATGGATTGGGTAATCCAAAATAATCAACTAATTATAGTATTAACAGTTCCAGCATACAAGTAAACATGAAACAGTATTGAAATATACTTACATTATCAGCATCTGTGGAGACATGAAATTTTATGCCAGTCAGAAAGGCATTTGGATTTTCTTCCTCTTCATACAAGTCGCTTTCCAGGGAAGACATTGGCTTTCGACTTCTGTTGACCAATAAACTATCAATATAGCATGCCACGAAGCATTCAAATGAAATTTAATATAAAAATACAAAGACATAGATAAGACAATTAAACATGTATTACAAGAACTAGGCTTTAAACTATATCTATTTCAAAGGCCAGATAAAAAGTGAGTTGCCGAGGAATTATAACGCACACTGAAAAAGTCTTAACACATGAAGATCTATGAGCACAACACACCCATAGTAATATAAATAACCGATAAATCAATTATGGAGGTCCAAAAATGTACTGGAGGAAAGGTATTCTAGAGCGAGAATCGGCTTGTCAAATTTTGTTAAATGCTACCTCTTTAATCTAAAGCCCATGCAATATCCCAAGCCAGTTGCCTATGGCAACTGAACGGACGAAAAGGGGTGCTCCATTATAAAGAACTGGACAGAACTCCAGATTGTACTTTTCCAAAATAAATCTTAAACATGTTTCTGTACTTTTTCCAAAATAAAGCACTACATCAATAAAGATGATGAACATTTAGATTTCATTCCACCTTTTCGGTCAAAGAATTCAATTCATTATCCAAAAATGTTTAAAGACTGATTCTCTTGTTATGCTAGTCCAAAGGAACATAATCAAAGTCAACAAAGGGGCAAGAAAATTTATGCTCATAGATCATTACCAAAAGATGGAAATTATGTTTAGATCCTTCTATAGGGGATTCCTATTCGTCCTACAATTTCTTGAAGTCTTCTATAATCCCTTGGTTACCTCCCCCTATGGGTTTCGTCAAGGTAAATGTGGATGCAGCCACTAGCAGTGATTGGAAGAAATCAGGTCTTGGGGTCTTATGAGGGATCAATCTGGTGCAATCCTAGGTTCTTTTCAGGAGCCGGCTGGTTCAGGACCTCCAACAAAGGGGTATTTCTTTCTTTGCCTCTTTTCAAGGGAGGGTTAAAGATAGGCTGATTGTTGAGAGTGATTGCAGGGTTGCAGTAGACTGGATAAATACTATTGACTCATGTCCAATTGTATATGGTTTTATTGTTGGAGATATTGTTGATAGTCTTAGAACTTTCGGGGGGGGGGGGGGGGGTTCTTAGATGGGTTGCAAGGACAGCGAATATGGATGCTGATGCTTTAGCAAAGGCCGGTATAGGTTGATTTTTATGTTGTTGGCTTCTTTAGTTTGGTTTTCTGGCTCATGTATTGTTGTAAGGGTTTTTTGGAATAGTTGTTCCAAGGTTGTAATTCTATTTTCTATAATGAAATTATAAGGCACTCTTTTCCTCCTTCCGATGATTAAGAAGCTTCTATACAAGCTCCATTAATCAAGAAGGAGGTTTTTAATGAGGCCTTCAAATCTTATCCAAAAAAAATGTTTAGATGCAAAAAAAAAAAAAAAAAGCAATAAATAGTCTGGAGGTCAGCAAAAATAAACAGGCAATCAAACACATTAAAAGAAACCAAGTAAATGCAGCAAGCCGGAAAGTATGCATTATTAGGCCATAAACCGTCCATATACCTCTATGCATACAAGAGCTACCCTTTATATTCTGGTCAAGTTTACTTACCAGTATGGAGAATAAAACGTGGAGTTAATGAACTGAAAATTTTGGAATAAGCCTCGGATCAGAATTCAAACTGCCATTTATAGCAGCTATAACCCGCCCCAAATGAAACAAATGCACATCACCATTGACAAAAATTTCGAAACAAGCATCGTACTCACTAGGTCAACTGATCATAGTAAAAATGCATGAGCCATGGACATCATCACTTTAAATATGAACACAAAAAAACAGTAGCACAAATTATAATAGCAAACCACTAAAACTAATCATATAGATAATCCCAAGTTCTTGATCAGGTCAATCAACATTAACTGCCGACAGGTAGTGAAGAGTACACCACTGATTGGAAGTAAAACATGAACTATAAGAACACACACAAGAACCAATATATGATCGACCACTGCTCACAACGCTGAATCAATCATACAAAACCAAAAACAGAATCCCCTGCTTTAACTTGCTAAAGTTCATCTAAATACCACTGATATAACGATCAAGTTCATCAACAAACATGATAGTTCCAAGCACATTGCTTAATGCTCCATGTTTTGAAACCAAAACAATGCCACAAACAACAAAGGGAAAACGCTTTAAAACAACCCACCATGCAGAACAAGAAAAACCTCCTTATTGAATAAAAAGTCCCAAAAACCATAATCAAGTGGAAAAACGAACAAGATCATGACAATCAGCCAAAAACCCGTATTGGAGGAAAACACGGAAAAGCAAAAGAACAGAACACTGAAAGCCAATCAAAACAAATAAACATGCAGCATTGATCAATACCCATAATCCAAAAAACAAAATACATCAAGACACTTAAAACAAAGATACAAACTTTACTCACTTCCGATGAAAAGGCAATGTACTTCTTCCACTGAAACGACACTCTCGATGAGTAAATGAGAACACAGAGATAAAGAGGGATGGGGTTATAGAAGGAACATCATTATGAAAGTCATTCTCTTTCAAGTGAAGCTATTTAGAAAAGAGAGACAATAGTGGGGAAAACTATAAATAAAAGAAAGAATTAGGGTCAAAACAACAACCTCGAAATTGGGTTTTTGTTAAAAGAGGGAAAAAAACACACGAGAAAGAGAGAGATAAAGACGCCGCCGGTTTGTAACGAAGACAAAAATAATTCCACCCAGTTCAAGAACTAGACTTTTGAAGACCAATGCCGAAAGGGTCTGCTTTTTTCCCTTCTGTCGGATCAAATTATCCCTGTTCTTCGATCTAATTACGAATCTGGGATCAATTTTATTTTTGAATAAACTAATTATTTAGTTACTTAATTATCATTTTAGTTCTATTTTCTCTCTTAACTATTCTTACTTTTTAAAATCATATATAGTATTACATTTTAATTTTATTTTGATTATATATTGTTAAAAATAAATAAAATTAATGAGATAATAAATTTTTATTTTGTGGTGATAACATCATTAACTTTATAATGGCATGTGAACACAATATAATTTTTAAGTAGGATTTAAAAAAATAATAATGGAATTATTAAAATAATAATTAAATGACTAATATAGTTTACTCTCTTTTCGGTCGCAGTAGGTTACTGTGTCGCTCTTGTTTTCGGCGTTTTGACGAAAAAATCACATTAAAAATAAAATATTCTCGATTAATCATTTTTTTTCAAATATTTTTCGATCCAACACTCTTTTTAAAAGATATAAAATATATTAGTGTGTTATTGGTGGGTAGAAAATGCATAACATATCTATTTCTAAACTATATCATTGTTAAATTAAAAATATATATAATAGTCACCTAATTTTGGCCAGTAGGATGGATAGAGAGGACGATCGTTCATCCAAAAATTTGAAATTATCATATATTTTTAATTTTTTTGTATATTTTCTATTGAAAATATATTTTTGTCCCATTAGAATTTTATGCGTTCAAGTTCGTTCTCTTAAGTTTAAGTTCACCCCCTAACATAAAATCATGTGTCCATCTCTGACCATTAAAATTGTGTATTTTCATATTCGAATTTAATTTGATTTAAAAATGGATATCTAAATTATGAATCGGTAAAATAGTGATTTATATTAGATTAAAAAAATTAGAGGTCTAATTTAAAATATCCAATTTTTATATAGGATATTTAGATATTCGAACGTATGTCATGATTTAATATAATTTTAGGTATGTCTATTAAAATAAATTTATCCGATAAAATAAATATATCTGACATAATTTTTATAGGTTAATTTCTTTTGAAATATAAAAAAAATAAAGTAAAATAAATACATATTTAGATCGGTTTAAGTATTTACATCTCTCATTATTCCTTTTGAAAAAAATTAAAATTAAAATTAAAATGAATATATAATTACACCAAGCATGCACATCTTGCACTTAAAAGTTAAACGGGAACTTACATTGGTGTGAGTATATACATTTCTCACTAAAAATAAGTACATATAATTATTTATTATATGTGTATGTTTGTATTTGATTTTAAATAAAGTGGTTTTGTATATTTGTATAAGTATTTAATTTTAAAATACTTACTCATATTCTTAATCATATTTAAATTATTATAGACTTAGACCATTTATTTGTATATATAGATCGTTTGTATTATTTTAAAATATTTTTAATTATATTTAAATTATTATAAATTGTGACACGCTACTGATTTGCATTATAAGATCTTAACACATTTAATGTTTGCGTGTTATTCGGTTCATGTTTGCGTGTTATTCGTATTATTTTAATGGCTTAATTATAAAATAAATGTATAAATTATATTTTTTATAAATAAGTGCCTAAATTATATCGTTTTTTATAAATATGTGTTCAAACTTTTTTTTGAATCATTTAGGTGTCTAATGTTATAAATGTTACCACTTTAGGTGCTCAAGCATAATTGTCGTTAAATTTTACCGTTAAAAGGCGCGTGTCACGTTCTGGTAATTATAAAATTTTTATTTAACATTGAAAAATTAAAATTATATTTTTGAAAAACACAAAAATTTTGAAACAATTTTAAAAATCCCCAAAACTTTGAAAATTCTCATTTCAACCCCTAAACCAATGTTGAATACCACCCTTTGTCGTTGACGAAGCTTCACCCGACCTCACCTCCACTTGATGATCAATAACCCTATGAAATTTAGACCATTCGACGTGTGTACCACGATGAGCCCTACGCTGCAAATTGTGACCCCACACGATCCCGACGGCCAATCGATGGCAAGTATGTCGACATATGATTAGGAAGATGACAATGATTATACCAGTGATAGTGGTCGTGGTCGATAAGGACAACGTTAGCAGGTTAGGGATATAGGATTTTTAGGGATTTGAGGTTTTTTATAATTTAAGAGAAATTAGGGTTTTTTATAAATATAATAATATTTTTATTTTTTTAAATAACATTTTTAAAATTACCAAAACGTGACATGTGTCACTTAACAGAGAAATTTAACGGCAGTTACGATCCGGACACCTAAAGTTGTAACGTTTATAACATTAAACACCTCGATAATTCAAAAAAAAAAGTTTGGCACATATTTGGTGGAAAAAATGATATAGTTTGTGCACTGATTTTATAATTAAGTCTATTTTAATATATAAAGACACAAAATTAATAATATGCCACAATTTATAATAATTTGTATTATAAGATCTTAACATATTTAAATATTTGTGTGCGTATCAACCAAATTATTTCATTGGTTAAAGGAATTGTTGTTATTCTTAGAGAGTTCAGGTTCGAACATAAAAAAATAAAAGGTAGTTGAGCATTCATTGTCAAATGATTAAGAGTTTTTAGAATCGATTTTGATGTTGGTTATTGATCGTTAGTTTTTTTATTTGTTTTTTTTTAGTTTTTTTAATATGAATAATTCTTTGTTTCTATGGCATATTTTTCTGTCGTTTGGCACATTTTTCATCTTCTTTCTCATACGTTTGGTCGTTCTTTTTATTTTATGTTTTCTCAGAGTTGCATTTGATGACGCCACGACTGATCAAGATGATGTTTATTTTTAATCATATTAGTCTTTCTTACTATATACCCTTATATTGAATTTAGATACTCGATTTTATATTTGTGGATAGTTTCTCACAACGCTTAACTCTGATTTATTATTTTTAGTGATCTTTCAATAACTTAATCTCCTTTTGTAAGTCGTTTGTTGATGGAGTCAGATTTGTTCATATCTATTTTTATGTTCGAGTCTATTGGTCGAGTTTTTAACCTTTTCAATGTATGATCGATCTTTATATATATGATCTAAAGCGGCTAGTTTCAATATTATAAAAAAATGTCCAACATTATGTATTTAGTTTGCGATGATAGTTGTAAACCCTTATTGTAATTTTGGATATTTTCACTTTTTAACTAGATTAATGACTTCAAATTTTTTTAAAAAAAATTTGTGTGTTATTGAATCCACCACGTGATTTTAGTGTAAAAGAAAAAGTTGTTATTCCTAGAAGTTATGAGTTCAACTGTTCAAACAGTTACTTCTATATAATATGTATGTCTTGTCAATAAGTTAAGAAAATTCTGAATAAATACTATATTATAAGCATTTTAGATTATTAAAAAAAAGGACCACGATTCATAATAATTTAAAATATAATAAAAATTCTGCAAAATAATTCAAACAATCCATATATACACAAATGATCTCATTTTATATAATATAAAAAAATATGATAATAAATACTTTTATTTACATGCTATTATTTTTAAAAACGATAAAATATCACTATGAAAATATTTAAAAAATAATTATTTTTTGTAAAATTTATATTTTATCGTAAAAAATATGATAAATTTATTTTTTTTAAATAATTTAATATTAATTATATAAACATAATTAATTTTTAATCCCAAATTAAGTGAGAAAGTATCTTTAATTTAATAATTATTCAATCTAAATATTTATTTTGGTAAAATATTCTTAATAAAGTTAGGTGGTCAAGGTCTTTGAATCTCTATTTCACATAGTTACTGCTAGGAAGGTTAGGGTTCAATTCTATTTCTAAGTATCAATGATATATTCTATCAATCGAATATAATTATTAAAGTATGATGTGAACGTTGTTGAGGCGACAGAAAAAATGATGTTGAGAATCAATAGATAGATAAATAAAGTTGATCAGAGAGTTTGAAACAAGTGGTTGGCTATGCTTGTTTATTAGGTTTGTCACATGGAAGCACTTGGCTTTAATGTTTTTCATGCAACTTTTATTGGAATGACCAACAAATATGTGAATTTGGGTTTATCAATAAAGAAATTAATGAGTCCTTGGAAGCAACAAAGTTGCATTTGAATTCTAACATGGTTCTCACAACTAAGATGATCTTCACATTCATGGAGAATAAAATGGATACAATATTAACACTTTTAGAGGGTAGGTGAAGTTAGGTTGTTTATGAATCGTTCATATAATATTTATACATGTTCGTTTGTTAAGATAAATAAGCATATTTAAATAAAAAATTTATGTTCACTCAACAAACGAACGAACACGAACATAAGTGTGTTTGGTTTGTTTATGTTTACTAACAAACTTGTTTATCGACTCATTCCTTTATGAAGCTTAAAGAGTTTAAGCATTGGTAGCGTACTTTTACCATTTTTTAGTTTGCAAATGAATATGTTTGCGGACATATAAACGAACGCTAAAAGAACAAGGTCGAATACCTTCAAAAATAAATAAATAAACACAATATTAAAAATTTGAATGAACACGAACCGAACATGAAACTTTTAAAAACAAACAAACGAATACAAACATAACTTTACTCGTTCAAGCTCGGTTCATTTACGTTCAAATTCAAATAACTTTACAGAACTCGATATTTGATCACAACAGAATAAAATGCCAAGTTAAAAATCTGAATGCCCCAAATATTTTGCATTAAAATACATTACCTTAATATGAAATATTTCCACAAGGGAATTCCATTGTGCACTTGTCTTTATCCCACATGCAGACAGTGGACAGCTAAAAGAGTTGAAACCTAATTCAAAGGCACATAACTTTTCTGGTTTTAAGTAAACTCTCTCATCTACTAAACAACAGCTCAAGCCTGAATAAAATTTTCAAAAGCAAA